TATATATATGGTGCTTTTATTTATTATTAACTTTAAACTTTATTCTATCCTATATAAATATTTCAATCTATATGTAGATACGCGTTAGCTGCTCGTTTCAAGAAAATAAATTTCACGAATTCTTTGATAATATCAATATCAAAATATGTATTTTAAAATTCGACAGGAACTTTTGTTCAAGTGACTTAATGATATTGATAAATAAATAAAGAAAGAAGGAAAAAGAAAAAGAGAGAAAGAGAAAGAAAAAGAAAAAAGAAAATAAAAAGCAATTCTTTTTTTTTTGCTTGGGTGATAAATTTTCTCTCTCTTTCTCTCTCTCTCTCTCTCTCTATCTATCTATCTATCTATCTCTACCCCTTTCTTTCTTTCTTTCTTTCTTGCTTTCTTTCTTTCTTTCCATCTATCTATCTATATATCCTTTTTTTTCTTTTTTCTTTTTCTCGAGAAAGGAGAGCAACTTAGCCCTCCGATTGTACCGTACTTGACGATCGAAAAATTAGTTATATCTTTGTCGTCAATATAACAAAACATTTCGTACGAATACGTGCTCTCTCACTCACTCCCTTTCTCTTTCTTTCTCTCTCTCTCTCTCTCCCCCCCTCTTTTTGTCTCTATCTCTCTCTCTTATTCTTTTAATACAGTATATATATATATATATATAACATCATCTCGTAAAAATTCATCCATGAGATATTCATCGGATCCCCTTTTTATGTGTACTCTGTCTCTCTGTTTGTCAATGTATAAAGCTTGGATAAGAAAAACCCTCGTCGATATCTAGATTGTATAAATTGTTAAATATTCGCCGAGTTGACCTAATCTCTCTTTCTCTCTCGCCAACGATTTACGAATCGAAAGTTCTTATCTCGACGATTATTACTTTATTCGTCTTATAGCGAGCTTTTACAATTAATAATTAATAAAAGAATAGGAAAGGGGAGAATAAGAAAATGACAAAAAATAAAAATAAAAATAAAAATAAATGAAAAAAAAAAATAAAAAAAAAAAATGAGAAAAACAAAAAAGATAATAAAATAAGAAAAAGGGGCGAACAATGAGAGAAATAAAGTCTTCCATCTTAAAAACGAACGCGCGGGAAAGTCTTTCTTTCTCGTGATAAATGCGATTAAGAGAGACAACCCTAACAACCACCCACGATTTTCAACATTTCAAGTTCTTTTTCTTTCTTTATAATGTGGTGTGTGTGTGTATATATATATATCATCTTAACGACACAACGTTTACACACTCTCCCCGGACACTGTCAAATTTTTGTATTTATTTATTCGATTAAAAAAATATTGTCGGTTAATATTTATATTATATAATATTATGCGAGAATCTCGCTTGTCAAGTGTTTTGTTTTTCAAAACAACAATTACAATTATCTTTAAGCGATATAAATGTGGATATATTATAATATGTATATGATAAGTAACCATAATAGTAATAATAATGATTATGATAATAATAATGATTATGACGATGAGGTTGATGATGATAATGATGATGATGATGATGATAATGATGTACGTACATCATTTAGTACGTACGTTTCGGAGGCATATTTTTCTATGCCTTTTCAAAATCAGTGATACAATTTTATTATACGAAATGAACGCTATGTAAATGACTAGCATGACGATAATGTCAATGGTGTATGCATTTTTCTTTATATATATATATATGTATGTATGTATAACTTACTTTATATTTATCAATGTTTCTTCATTTTTATTGATATTTCTTTTCATTTATCCTTTTTCTTTTATATTAATATTTTCATATATGACTCACATTTTCACGTCGTATCCACCATCCGTAAAAGTCCTCTGCTCAAATCGTGGAAAAATGTATCCACGAAACAATAGTAGTAATAATAATAATAACAACAACAACAGCAACAATAACAACAATATTAACAATAATAACACAATAATAATAATAATAGTAATAGTAATATTAATATTAATAATGATATAATAATTTACAAAAAAAAAAAAAAGTAAAAATAAAATATAAAAAAATAAAAATTACAATATATAGACTCTCCCCCCTCCCCCTCTTTATGATTGTGATTACGGCTGAACTCGGTAAAAAGAAATTAAAAAAAAAAAAATAAACAAGTAAAAACTTATTTCACTAATAAAAAATATCCCATTTTCATTTCCGAGTTCTACTGTATGATAATTTAAAATACGTTTAACAAATGATTATTGGTAATCGTAATCGTTAGCCCGTATGTATGTATATGTGTATGTACGTGTCCTGTAAAAGCAGACAATTATTATTATAAAAATTAAGAAAGCTTTATTATATTACGTATCGTCGGATTATTAATTTTTATTTAACATTAATATGGTAATCTCTTTACTGTCAGTATTACAATACACTAGTGTACTTAGCTCGCGACGACACGCTTTTATGATTTGCAATAATCATAGCGAGCGATCATAGCGAGGTGAGTATAAGCAGAGTATAGATCTAGATACGTATCTTTTTATTTTTATTTTTTTTTTTTCTTCTTCTTTATTATTCTATCTCCCTCTACCTATTCCTTTCTCTCTTTTTCTTTATTTAATAACGATTTGATTAAACAAAATAAAGGAACATTATTATAACGAGACGAGAGAGATTAATTATTACACACAACACACATACACGCGTAACTGCTTCTATATAAATATTTTTTGGAAATTTTTAAATTATTATTTTTTAATATACGAGCAATATATGACTCTTTGTTGCGGATTCGTAAATCACGACACAAATTCTAATCAATGAATTTTTCATGTCAGTAACGCTTATTCCCCCACTTCCTCTCCCTCCTCGCTTTAATATATCTTCGAATTAAAATAATCGTTATCATTGAAATTTTCTTCTTAAATATTAACACACCACACCATTTCTACAATTTAACTTTTATTGACTTATTTAATTGATAAAATGCAATAATTTATCTTTATCAGACGGAAACACTTAAATTAAGTCGTATCTCATTTACATTAAACGTTTTAATGCCAAAGGGTTTTTCAAAATCCGTGTCGGATTGTGCCATGCAGCGCAATAACGTTTCGTACATTTATTTGCAAAAACGCTACATCGTCACGATTGCACTGCGTGGCGTTAAAACGATTAAAATCCTTATGTTTATCCATTTATACTTTTGTCAACTAATAATTAGTAATAAAAACTGTAATGTCGCATTAAAAGTGGCATAAATTTGATAAGGAATCATAGATATTAAATGAGGCAAAAAACAATTTTTTTAAATTATCATTAATTATACGGTTATTAAACTTAATTGTTTCCTTTCTTTTTTTTTTTGTAATAATATTTTTTTTAAGTACTTAAAATTAATTTTACGACCAATGGTCTATAATTAAGTACAAAAGGAAAAAACTGTTTGAAAAGACATTTTTTATGCATCCTTTTTTTTTTTGTATTATTTTCAATTCCTAAACGATCTATGTTCTTATTCTACGATACATGCATACTTCTTGTACAATTTCAACATCTTTAATAATAATTAATAATTACAATAATAATGATAATAATAATAATAATAGTAATAATAATAATAATAATAGTAATAAGAAGAAGAAGAAGAATTAAAAGTTATAACTCCATGCTAATTAATTCTAATGAGGAGAGGAAAAAAATAATAGAAATAACTCGTTTAAATAATAGGTGTGACACATTTGAGAAAAAATAATTATGTTGATTAAACGTTATTTCCTTCTGTAGTACATCTATATATATATATATATATTTTATTTTTAAAAATTACATCTAATAAGAGGCACTTGTAAAAGAGCAATCATTTCATCAAAAGAGGTGTATATATATAATAATCGAATAAAAACATCTTAGGATATTAATTCAAATATATCCGATTGATGAAATGCTTGCATTCGTAAATCTGATGGTGATGTATATGTATGTGAAAGTATAGTGTGTATGTTATGTATATGTACGTATATATTTGATGTTTAATGTGCATATGTATGTATGCGTATGAATGCGATGTAATATACATAGATTTGAATTTCTTACGAACGAGGAGCATTTCTTTTCTGTTTTTTTGTAATCTGATTATACGAATCAGAGTGAAAAATTGTGATGTCGTGATGAAACCCAATTCATTATTCATTTTTGTTTATTTTAATGTTCGTTTTAATCTATGTTTATAATATAAAATGTAAAAGGAAAAAATTGTATGAAAAAGTTGGCGTATACCTTCTCTGTTTGTTTTTTTTTTTGCACTTTTCTTATTTTTCTTTTCTTCAAACCTATACGATTTATATTCTTATGCTATGTGTATATATGTATATATATATACACATATATTCATACTTCGCATATAACTTAAAAGTTTTAATGATAATAAAAAAAAGAAAAAATAGGTATACATATATATAATTGATGTTTTTTATAATCATTATTATAGCCATACTTGCGTTGAAAAGAAGTCTAATGTAAACACCTGCCCTTTGGAATTTAGACTTTTAAAAATGTTCCTTGTTTTTATAGCCACACATCGCGGATGTATATGTATATATATGTGTATCATATATACATATATATAAATTTTATCAAACGTTCAAT